TCAGGGCAGAAGCAAGTTCTTCAAGCTTCAGGGGTTGCTCCAGTTCAGTCGCCGACTCCGGGGGTATAGTGCGGGCTATGTGTTGGTCAAGGTAGTCCGTGATGCGTTGTGCATGGCGTTGTGCAGCTGCGCCCCCCCCGTCTTGTGTTTGGTCGTATAAGTATGTGTAGTAGTTGTGGAAGGAATCCAGGATGCCCTCCAGGAGCCTAGTGATGTCCTTACCCCCGGTCCAAATCTTATGTATGTGCTGTCTTCTCCTCTTTTCCTTCAGCATCCGGGCTAGCAGACGACCACTCTTGTTCGAATGTTCGTAGTAAAATCTGGCCAATTTCCTCAAGATGAGTTGAAGTCCTTTGGAAAGGATGTTATGTGCCTCTGTGAGTTGTAAGTACGGTGTCTTCTAGTGTGCGTTTGTGGTCCTGTTCCAGTGCAGCTATGCGTTTTGTCAGTTTGGTCATGTGTTGTGTCCTGTCTCTTTTGCATTGTGTGCATTTTGCAATAAAGTGACCGCGTATGACACATTTGTGTGCTTCCTAGAGAGTCAATGGGGTCACGTCAGGTGTGTCGTTTGTGTCAAAGAATTGTCGGAGTGTTTGAGCGGCCTTGTCTGTCAACCCTACGTCATTCAACAGGCTTTCGTTTAGTTTCCACTGGCATTCACCGGGTTTAAAGAGCGGGGAACTCGTGCTTACCGACAGCATGTTCTGTGTGGTCAATAAGTCTGATGTCCGAGTCACAAGGTTGTGTGCTGGCTCGTTGGGGCCGGACGTTGACATGCGGGAGGCCTGTTGCTCATAGGAAGTGCGGTATATCATTAGGCCATCGGATGGTATGCCAGTGGTTGTCTACTTTGGCCTGTAAACTGAACAGGAACCACCATTTATACCGAATCCTCTTTTTTCTTGCAGGAGGTGCGTGATCGGTCTCAGGGCCCGGTGGGCGTCCAGGGTGAGTATGGACAAGTCCTGGTAGAGCAAGACTCGTGCGTCCATGAACGGGATATCGTGCTGCGCTCTAGCCGCCCTCATGATGGACTCTTTTAGCTGAAATGAGAGTAGGCAGCAAATTACATATCTGGGTAGTCCGTCTCTCCTGGGGGTTCGCAAGGCCCGGTGGGCCCTCTCGATAACAAAATCTGGCGGTGCTTCATCACGGAGTAACTGGGAGAACAGGCTCTTGAGCATTTCATGTGTGTGTTTTTTCCCCTCTGTTTCTGGAATGCCCCGGACGCGAATATTGTTTCGCCGGCCCCTGTTGTCGAGGTCTTCTACTTGTCTCCTGAGATCGAGGATGATATTGCCCTGCTTGGTGGCCGCCAGGGCTGCTGCTTGGCAGTGTTGCTCCGCTTGCATGCGGTCCCACCTCCTGGACAGCTCACTAAGAATGCAGCTTCACAATGAATGTAAAATGGATGCTGTCCAGGAGGTGGGAGGATCTGGGAGGGAGGGTCTGCTGCTGATTGGCTCTAATGTGTCTGCTGACTGTGAGGTAAAGGGTCAAAGTTTACTCATGATGACATGGGGGCGGACCGAACAGCGCATATGTTCGCCGTCCATGGCGAACCGTTCGGCACATCACTAATGGTATATAACGTGTAATTTTTAATTTTGATTTTAATTTCACTGATGATATTAACGTTTATAGAGATCTTGAATGTTAGCACTTTACTATGCTAAAACATTTTTTTCACTTGCACTAAAAGATATATTGCACTTGATCTTTGCAAGGCTTTATTAAATGAATATTGTGTTTAGCCCACCACTACTCCAGAGTACCCCAATATCTGTGGGTCCTACACTAATTACAACATGGGAGACAAATTAAATAGTGCTGGTGCTAAATAATACACAGTCACAGGCAGACAGTCACACACACATACACAGTTATAGGCAGACAGTCACATACAAAGTTACAGGCAGACAGTCACACACAGCTATGGCAAATGCACATCTTGCACACCCCTAAGACTGGCCCTGGCCCCGGCCCCAGTTGATCGAGAGGACCCTCAGATATCCTATGACTCCTAGAGCTCCTTAGTACCAGCAGGGATTTAACCTTGCTGCCATTTTTAATGCCTGATGGTCTATAGTGGTCTATAGTGGACCATCATGCAGTACTTGAGTTTTAAAAAAGGACAAAACAAAATACATTACATTTCAACTCTACTACTGAAAATTAAAAAAGGATATATTACCAAAATCCCAACGGAAAATATAAAAATGTGATGCAACAAAAATAAATCCATCTGAAGAGAATGAGGTTTCAAGGTGGGAAAGCATTTATAAAGCTTTGAAATCTCAGAAGAGTTATTTGATTGGTTGGCTTGTTACCATTTTGTTGGCCTTAATTTGGGCTGAATTCTGATTAACCTAATGTTACTGGAACTAGCATTAGTAAATATTAGAATTGCCATTCCAGTTGGAATTAAGCATTTTTTTCACAAAATTTTGCCCATTCAGACAAAAAAAACAGTGTTTATTAAATAACACTGAGTGTTTTTTTTTTAAACTGTTGAACCCTGTTCCTGCACGGTAAACAGGCCAAATATGTTATTTTATTTTATTTATGTGGTATTGTAGTTCCCTACCTCAGGAATCTGGCTCCTGGAATCTTCCTGCAAATTAACAAAACGGGGGGCAATTCAGCTCTATTTCTGCTACATGTAAATAGTCAGATCCCTCTACTTTACTTTGCAATTCACTTTAAATGGGCACTCCAGACTCCTAAAGGATTATTCCTTGATTAAATGTTTTATGTGTGGAAGGTGTGTCATTTTACAAAATGTTCAGGATTCAATAGGCATTTCCACTGTTATAAATTAACCTTGTTACACCCCTCTGGCTTTCATCCAGACAACAAGTCATGTTACTTCCTAGTTTGGTTAGCTTGTTTGCACTGAACTCAAGAGGCAGCAAATGCCCAGAGCACCTGCTTTACAAAGACTTCCCATTGGGCTACATTGGGAAGTCTGTGATTGGACAGAAATTCTGGGCGGGGTTAGAAGTGGAGGACTTGCAAAGACTGCAGACAACTGCAACTTTTTCATTGTGGTTTTAGATATATCCGCAATGACAAAAATGCATAATTAGATGCATGCATGTTTTCAATGGGGTATATCTGCTAAACAGTGCTTTTTATTTTTTGTTTGTGCTGGGACAGTGGAATGTCAAATTCCTAAATTTGATTGCCAATATCATTCACACTCAAACTGCCTTTGTGTATAATCTTATATTATTTTATTCTCATGCTATTTCTATTGCAAATATTGCTGTTTGACTTGAAATAACACTTGGCAAATATTTACATTGCATGTGGCACTTCCAGTAATTCTGTTAGAAGAAGATGCGTTACTCCCCCTGGGGTAATGCTGGGAACTATTAAACGAGTGTTCTTCTATTTAAAATGCTGTTTTGCATACTGCCTGAGACAGTATAAGAAAAAAACAGGCACATGTCCACAGCTGCTGGAGACTGCCAGGCTACAGAGAAGGGAAACATCTGTTTTACAGCTTGAAAAACTTCTGGCAACAAAACGTAAAGTAACGAAAAGAATGAAGTTTAACCCCTTAAGGACACAACTCTAAATAAAAGGGAATCATGACGGAATATTTCCGTCATGTGTCCTTAAGGGGTTAAAGCTAAGAGCCATTCACTACGAGACCGATCTACAAGTCTCTACATGGAAATATAGATTGGACTAAAAAGCTAGTGTACAGAAGATAATAACCACATGGGGGATTAGACCTGGCGGATCAGTTGATACAGCTAAAATGCTAGGAAAAGAAAGAAAAAACAAACAATAAAATGTACACACTATACTTTATGGTATGAGACTTTACTATTGATAGGGCTTAGCTTTCGAGCCATTTTATCATCTTCTTTGTTGGTATTCCCAGGATCACTATTGGCTGTGTTTTAAAACAAATCACACATTTCTTCCTTCTTCTCTATTGTTATTTCTTGATTTCCTCCAAATCCATGTTAATGCAAAAAAATACATATATTTAATATAGTTTATGACATTAATTTTTTTTTAAATAAATAAATCATACCATACTTATTGAGATATTTTTCTGTATTGGCTCAGTTAAAGGGAGTTGGGCATGTTGTGAGTTTACTGTTTTCATACAGCATCCAGTGATAGAAGTTTCAACAATTAGCTATGTATTTTCAATAATTAAACAGATAAATATGTAATGGGAAACAGGGCCGGCGCTACCTCTTAGGCGGACTAGGCAGCCGCCTAGGGTGCCCCTTGGGAAGGGGCGCCGCCAGGAGCACAGGCCCCACTCATGCTGCAGCCGCCCGAGCGTTCTGTAGAGAGCCTCGGGCGGCTGCAGCTTTGCCCGGGCTGGTGCGTCCATGAGGGCACACCGCACCGCCCGGGCGCAGCTTGAGGAGAGGGGCTGACAGGAGGGAAGCGCTCAGCGCTCCCTTCTGTAGCATGGCCGAGCTCTGTATGGTCTGCGGGTACAGGGAGCATCTGTCTCCTGTACCCTGCCGCACTAACAGGAAGTGCACACTCAGTGAGCACTTCCTTTTAGTCCGACCGTTACAGGCGCTCCCTTACCCAGCCGAACCTGAAACTTCAGCTTCTAACTATTGTAGTAGTAGAGATTAGAAGTGGAAGAATGAGGGGAATAAAATTGGAAAGGGGAAGAAGTGGAAGAAAAATTACCGGAAGAAGAATAGAGAGAGTGGAAGAAAGAGCGGGGAAGAAAGAGAAGTGGAAGGGGAAAAGGAAGTGGAAGAAGGGAGAAGTGGAAGAAGAGGGGGAAAGGGAGTGGAAAGAAGGGGGAAGAAGTGGAAGAAGAGGGGACTAGGAAGTGGAAGAAAAGGAAAGGGAAAAGAAGAAGAAGTGGGAAGGGGGGAGAAAAGAGAGTGGAAGAAGGGGGGAAGGAAGTGTGAGGGGGAGGGAGGAGAAAAGAGAGGAGGAGTGGTGAGGGGGAGATTGACATCCATCCAGGTTGAGGGGAGGTAGTGACCATGGCGTGGGTGGAAGCATGATTGGAGGAGGAGGATGAGGTAGCCAACACTGTTTTTATATATATATATATATATATATATATAATTTTTTTTTTTTTTGTGGGGGTAGCCCCCAAAATGGGACATATAAAAAAAGACAACTCTGTTTCGCAGAGTAGCTGTTGACATTATAGTTGCGCAGGCATTTTGACTCTAGAGAACCTCGGGCCAATCGCACATCCCGTGACTTTGCATTTGGATGTCATCCATATCAACTTTTGATGCCAGTTTCTGTGCCTACCATGGTGACTACGGGTAACAGGGAATCAGGGTTCCATTCCGTACAGGGACCCTGAGAAATGGCTACCACATGCAAGGAAGGCAGCAGGCGCGCAAATTACCCACTCCCGACTCGGTAGTGACAACAAATAACAATACAGGACTCTTTAGAGGCCCTGTAATTGTAATGAGTCCACTTGAAATACTTTAGCTCTGATTAATTGGAGGGAAGTCTGGTGCAGAGCCACTGACCCGTGCGTGCTGCAGCTGAAATTCCACTATCGCCTGCTGCTGCTCGGACAGTCTCATGAGGCGGTGAGCGGGAAGGCCGAAGTTACGCTGCAGTGCAGACAGGCGAGCAGCAGCAGGGTGAGAACACCGAAAGCGCGCACAGCCACTACTGTGAATGTCACATCCTGTTCCAAGATGCGGATCAGTCTGGTGATGGCTTCTGGTATCCAGTACTCTTTTTACTGAAGCTGCATCAGGGTCCTGGTATGTGGCCGCACAAATGCTGGTTCTCAACACCAAGGGGCGTGCAGTTACCCTGCACCAGACCCTGCTAATCCATTCCACACTGGGACTCCTAACTTCAACATCAGGCATACTGGGTCCCGGTCATTTTCCGACTGCCGCCCAGACAGTGTCTGGGTCCCGGTCACCGGACTGCGAAACTGCGAATGGCTCGTTAAATCTGTTATGGTTCTTTTTATCGCTTCAACTGTTACTTGGATAACTGTGGGAATTCTAAAGATAATACATGCTGACGAGCACTAGGGTACGGCTGCACAGCTTTTGCACCCTGCTCCCTCTTATGCTGTGCTGGTGCCTCTGTACGACCAGCACGTCTTCCTCCAAACTGCACACGTCACTCGCATGACCTTGATTTCATGTGGGGTCTAGGACCTCATCATCCTCCACATCATCTTCCACCCACTCCTCAACCCTGCCCTCCTTGCCGCTATGCACACTGCAGAAAGCCACAACAGTTGGCACCTGTGTTTTTCCAGCATGTAAAGTCTGCAAAGGACATATGGAAATTGTTTTAGAATTGTATCCAGGCAACAGTTTTCCCTATAAACTGACCTCTCAGTTTGACTTGTGAGGGTATTGCCCCAGAATTACAAAATTGTTTAAGTACCTCTTAGACTGGTTTAAATATAGCAGCTTGTTATCTGATAGTTTCTATCGTGGAAAATATCAATCTGTTTTCTATAACTTAGATCTGTGTAACAAGTGTTGTAGTTGTGAAACAATATTACAAGTGACCGATGTAGTAAATTCTAATCAAAGTTCCATTTGCAAAAAAAATTCTCTCCCATCTTCTGTGGGTTATTGCATTTTTAAGATGTAGACTTATTAGTGGGGTGCACTTCATTTCTGAGAGTCAAATAGAAGCATCAAATACTGCTGTCACATTGCAGTTTTAAAACTTAAATTTTTTTGGGTGCTAAACTGCTAAATAGTATTTTAGTGGGGTGCACTTCATATCTGAGAGTCAAATAGAAGCGTCTAATAGTGTGCTTACAGCGCAGTGGTAAACATTCTTATTTTCTGGGTGCTAATCTGCTAAATAGTACATTTTGGGGCGTGCACTTCATATCTGAGAGTCAAATAGAAGCGTCTAATAGTGTGCTTACAGCGCAGTGGTAAACATTCTTATTTTCTGGGTGCTAATCTGCTAAATAGTACATTTGCGGCCTGTGGTGCACTTCATATGTGAGAGTCAAGTAGAAGTGTCAAATAGTGCGCTTACTGCGCAGTTGTAAACGTTCTAATTGTTTTGCTGCTAATCTGCTGCTTACATTGGAGTTTTAAAAAGTCAATTTTTTTTTTTTGGTGCTAAATAGTATATTTGGGGTAAGCACTTCATAACTGAGAGTCAAATAGAAGCGTCTAATAGTGTGCTTACAGCGCAGTGGTAAACATTCTTATTTTCTGGGTGCTAATCTGCTAAATAGTACATTTTGGGGCCTGCTCTTCATATCTACAAGTCATACTACAACAAAATTAAACAAGTTTTAAAATATGCATGGGCCAACCAGTGGCTGTAAAAAAGTTTTACTGGTTACATTCATGACTACATACTCTAGTGAACAGGACCTTCATGTAGTGTGTTCTTTGTTTAAAAATCATACAGCATCCTTTCATGTGCTTTTCAGATGTCATATTGTGATTTACCAATTTTTGTGTAGCCTGATTTTTTTTTTTAAAGTGAAAAATATGTGATATTGTGATCACTTCATATACAAAAGCATTAATATACATTTCTATATTGTGTAAAGACACAACTACAAACGTAAAAACCAAACACCAAAACAACGTGCCAGACAATCTACCTGTACTCAGCAGATATTGCCGAACACATATTGGGGTGTCCTTTGGCAGTAACACCTACCAGGAGCTGAGAATCTATGCCTAAAGTAGAATGTGTGTGAAAAATAACACAAAAAAATGATTACCCGAATGTTTGACAGAGACTGGTGGTAGAATTAGTGCATGTAAAGTGTTAAAATGCCACCATGTGAAATACCCTAGAGTGTTTACTTTTCAAAAACATATGGTGTGACAGGGGTAAATTACATTGGCCAGCTTTGAAAATTTTCCAAATGGGACATGAGTGCATGATGGCCAGCTGTGTTTTTTTTTTTTTCATCATATTTTACCACTAGATTACCACTGTGTTTAATATGTTTAACTCCTTCTCTCTTAACTTGCATAAACACGCTAACATAATTTAAAGGAACACTATAGTCACCAAAGCAACTTTAGCTTAATGAAACAGTTTTGGTGTATAGATCATGAACCTGCATTCTCACTGCTAAATTCTCTGCCATTTAGGAGTTAAATCACTTTGTTTATGCACCCTAGTCACACCTCCCTGCATGTGACTTGCACAGCCTTCCTTAATACTTCCTGTAAAGAGTCATCAAATGTTTATCCTTCCTTTATTGCAAGTTCTGTTTAATTAAGATTGTCTTATCCCCGGCTATGTTAATAGCTTGCTAGACCCTGCAAGAGCCTCTTGTATGTGATTAAAGTTCAATTTACAGCGCAAGAGATACAATTGTTTAAGGTAAATTACATCTGATTGAAAGTAAAACCAGTTGTTTCTTGCAGGCTGTGTCAATCAGAGCCATGGGAGGTGTGGCAATCTCTGCATAAACAGAAACAAAGGGATTTAACTACTAAATGGCAGTGAATTGAGCAATGAAACCTGAGAGGCATGATCTATACAGTAAAACTGCTTCATTAAGCCAAAGTTGTTTAGATGACTATAGTGTCCCTTTAACCCCACTTTGCCTTCTAACTTTTTCTATTAGTTACAGTGCAGAGATGCACATTTCTCTGAGAGAGCTCTAGTCCTCATTTATCCAGAGAGGCTGTGAATGACCATCCCATTTTAATTTAAATAATTGTTGTATTTTAGGTATCACTGAAAAGCAATCTGTAAAGAAGGTTGTTGTGGACATGAAACACATTCTAAAAATATAGCTGTCGGGATATAAACCAAACATTTCAACCTTATTGCCTCTGACCTGACTGGAAGTACTTCCAGTCATTTTGGTTAAACAATGCCAGGAAAAAGATAAGACTTTAAAAATGATACCCCTGCGCTCACCTTTGCCTTAGACACAGAATAATTTATTGGTTTGCTGGGCATTCCAGAAGTGTCAGGATAGTCTAATACACAATAAACGGTAGACAAGCCAAATGTCATGGCATACAAAAGTCAGAATAGTCAAAGAACAAGCCATGGTCTAAATACACAAGAATCAATAGAAATGAGGCACGTGGGTATGTGCAGCATTGGAGCGTGCTCGCTGGGTCCAAGACCACGCTGAATAGGAGCAGTAAAGGCCTCTATTATAATGTAATATACCGTGCACACATATGCAAGAGATCATGAGGTCAAGGGAAAATAAAGATTTCTCAGTTGTGAAAATAAATAAGAAACAATACAAAATTTCTGGACAATATACAGCAATTTTGAATTTTATTAAACTGCAAATTAAACATAACAGAATATTATTTTGTTAGGGAGAATAAGTAAAGAAAAATTGTTTATTTGAATATTTATTCCCCAGGAGTAGCTTTCAGGTGAAAATCATCAGTGAAACTGGTTATCCATTGTCTGAACCTTGTTAAAATTATTTTAATGCATACAGCTGGTACCTAGTTACGTCAAAGGTATTGAACATATAGTAAGCCCTGTTGGAGATGTGGTGGCAAGTATGAGACAGTGGGCTTATTTATTTCATATAAAACTGTCATGTTTCAAGAAAGAATCACACAATGTATGCCAACATTTCCAAAAAGGTTATTATAGGTGACTTGCATAATATATTTTTTTAAATCAGCAATTTTTGCCAAAATTGTTCAATTGAGTTTTAAATTCACTGCCATTTCAAATTTAGTAAATAAATAAATGTAGAGGCTACAGAAGGAAAAAAATGGGGAGAGCAGTACATCCCTTATCGGCAGATTATCAGTATTATTTACCCTTCTACCTGTAAAATCACAGCAGAAGCTTACAAGTACGCTAAATTCTGTTGCTTCATAGTATAGCTATATTCCACTATGTCCATATTCCACATTAGTAAAAGCCCGACATTCCCTAATAACAATTACTCTTGAGATTGTACCGATCTCCAGTTGCTCCACAGCTCCCAAGTCTCAATGGCAGACGTTGTTGGGGGGAAGACACTGCAGTAGCATTTCTCACATATTTGTTGGGTGTCTAACTCTTTTAGGAGTACTGTACCTTCCCCTGTTGCACACCTCCAACATATAGAAGAAGAGTGGGAATAAATTCTGTGTATACGGGTTGGCACCATTTACCATCTGTATAGTACCTTTTTCTGTTGTTCTATTAGAGTGGCACATTTGATCAATTTCTTAAGTGAGGTTATAATGGTTTCCCATTGATCACGGGAGATAGTACAGTGTAGTGTAGAATCAGCAAAGTGAACATAAGACCGGAGAAGCTGGTAATATTGGGGTGGGAGAGAGCCCTTGATAGCCATCTGTTCCCATCCCGACATATCCCCTTAGGCCTCATCCCGGGAATGGGTCTGTATTTTACATTTGTGTAAAAATGACTTTGATTGTGTATAGGAGAACTGTGAGGCCAGGTGCATGTGGT